CAGGAGGGCTGTTTCCGTACCCAGCCTAAGGGGTGACTTTCAGGGCCTCGCTGCCTGGGTGTAGCGTTTCTCTTGCTAACACGGGAGCCACATAGCCCTCCCTTGAGTCGGAGGGGCTCGCAGCAGGGCTGTGGGATGGGTGCCCGGGGCCAGCCTTGCAGTGCTTTTGATTGAAGTCCTATGGAGAGGTGCTTTCTGTAGGAGATGGTGGGTGTGGGGAAGACGAGGCTCCGGGAAGGTGGTTTAGTTGTGCCCTGATGCCGTGCTGTAATGTGCGAGGCACCGAGCTGCCTGCTTGGGCCCAGGCTGCAGTCTGCAAGTGGAGAGTTGTGCCACTGCTTTAAAGAGAAATGCAGTGGTCAAGCTCTGCAGGCCAAGCACAACTGCACATCTTTTTAAAAAGAGGTGCAGTGCTAAGTAAGTGGTGATTCTTAGGCAAAAGTTTGGATTTTATGCTTACAGGAATCTCCTTTTGCCATAATCTGTAAATATGGGAATGGCAAATAAGGATGCTCTGAAGGACTCGTGCTTTTTCGTTTTTGTATGACTTTACCTGTCACTAGCATTCTTCCCTTTTGGTGGCCTGATATTTCTTCTGATGCATCCCTGATTATTATTGCCCTCCCATGCTTTCTGGTCACTGTACCAGATACACGCAGATAGACTGTACGTGATACACACAGTGTTGCCTCAGTCTCCTTAAGAGTCCTGTGAGAGAGAGGAGTGTATGAAATCTGCTAGATTCAGTGGCAGCCCTGGCAGAGAGTTCTCAGGAATGTGGGAAGCTGGACTGGTGCTTCACACAAGAAGAAGTATCTCAGGGAAATTAAGTTCAGGTATTCAGAGAGAGAGAACCAAGTTAAGCTACAAAACTTATCCTGGTGCTTTAGCCATCTTTGCCTGTGGGAGATAATGTTGTTAGTACACAACAGGCTTTCAGAAAGTGCAATATGTTGTACATACAGGCATCCGCTGCGTTGCAATATATTCAGCCATGAATGCATCCCTCTAACAGTATTTAATAATATAGCAGTCTGTTGGTGATACCTAAAGTCTTACACAAGTATGATAACAGTCTATCTGCCAAGCTTCTCAAAGCATGAAGTCAATGCTTTTTCAGCATCACTGCTCAAATAGTCTTCATGGAGTCACATTAAAATAAATTTTCTTCCACTTGCTTTTTTGACAGTACTGGCTATTCATTGCACTGGATGCCAACTTTTTCAGATGTAACACTGTGTGGGAAATACTCCTTCAAAGTATAAAACAGTGGGCCATTTCCAGTATAGCATATTGTGAAATGAAATGTTACATAAATTCTGGATTAAAAAATACTTATTGTAAGTTCATGACCTTCAGTAGACAGAAAATTAGCTTGGGACTTAGAATATGGAATTCCCCTTTTTGTCAGTTTTTGGATGTCACTGAGAAAATGCACTGAGCAGACATTCACAGGAGAAAGCTCTCACAAATAATATTTGGAAAAAAATGGGAGGAAATGAACTTTCAGAATTTGTTATCTTGATTTCCAGGGCTTTCACCTGTAAATTTAATAGATCTTCATACACTGAAATACTGAGAATGCATTTTTTAATAACTGGAAGGTACAATGAGGTGTTTAAGACAAACTGAAAATTCAAAGTTGTCTACTCCCAGTTTTGCAGAAGAAACACTGAATAACTCGACACAGACGAGGTACCAGCCTTTGTTCTCTGTAACTGATGGAATCCTATAAAAAGAAGTCTCAGACCATGTAGCAAAAGATGCAGATAGAAATGAGGCCAAACTGATGTTGCTTGAAATGTCTCAGTTCTGCATTCCCTGACTCCACTGTGTCTGCCTTTCAACTGTAAACATATTTTGTGTTTTTTTTTTTTTAATTATTATTTTACTCTATAGATGCTGCTTAAGAATTTAGATTGTCCCTGTGAGTACTAGTCCAACTTCCTTTTATTTCAGTAAAGATTCCAGGGACAAATTGGCAAGAGGTGCAACCTGGAACTCGGTGTCCAGCCCGTTGGTTTAATTCCCGAGGGGAATGCCATTTCTGGACAGCAGAACGCAATTGTTTCACCCTCTTCTAGCGTCCCAGTTGTTTCCTTTCACGTTGTAGCCATCACAACTACAGAGAAAGCAAAATGAAAGGTTTTTTTAAGGCAAATTAGCCAGAAAAAATGGATAGACATTTCCTGGCACCTCTGAAGGTAACTACACCAAAGTAGTCTCTCAGGAATTTGTCTAATGGCTCAGCCTTCATCAGAAACATGACAAGAGATGTCAGAGAACATAAAATAGGTTTGGAATTGGGCATTACATAATGCCCATCCTCTTAAGCTCTTATTTTAAAAAGCTTAACAACTGCCACCAACCCCTATACCAGGATTGGGAGTAATTATTGTATAGTCCATGTAAGAGGCTGAAGATTTTTTTGTGTGTGTGCTCAGATGTTTTCCTTTTCATACTCTTTCTTCTCCCCATATAGACATTTTCAAAGGCCAGGAATATGAGATCTTTAGGATACAAGGATGTAGGATAAAATCTTAAAAATACCTGCACCATGACATTACCTCAATACCTGATTTCCTGAGAATCTCTGATCTATTTTACCAGTGTCCCTGAAAAGCAGAGAAGGATTTTTTTTTCTTGTTTTATAAAGGAGAACTAAACCCCAAAGAGTAAGGCTTAGGTCTGGGCTCCTGAAGTCAGGTGCCCAGGTTTTGCCAAACTAGGTGCTTAGCAGCAGTTAGCAGTCTTGGTATAAAGGAACTCTGAAAAGAGAATTCCTGGCTTAATCTACTTAGGTGCTCTCTGCCTTTTCCTGAAGGCAAGCAGCTGTGCCCTTCTTCCCACAGACCTAATTGCGGTTCAGTCTTCTGTTTAAGCCACCACTACTATGATTCTCCTCTTACGAAATAAACCTCCACATAGGAAGTGGAAAACTCAAATTTAATCCCTGCATCTTTGGGGGAAAAAAAAAAAAGATACCACCTGCCTGTCCCCCTCAGTTGCAAGTTTTGGTAGAGTAAGGTACAATCTGGGGCCATAATTGGTGTTTGTTGAAGCTGTGCCACACACAGAGAAAACATGGATTGATTAGGCTAGGGTCTAAAGCTGTGGTTAAGCTAGGTGTCCAGTAGAGGGAAATGTTAGCTTCTGGTTGCTGTTACAAGCTCTCTTTTGGTACAGAAATTCAGTGGCATTTTAGATTAAATGAATAAGCAGCCTTGAACATCTGTTCTCTGTAGCTGGTCAAGATTACTCGAGGCTTAACTTTAGATGTAGAAATTCAGTATCTGAAGTCTAAGCATGACACCCTGGTCTTTACAGAGAAAAATAGTTTTCTACCATAGGATGAGATGCATTTCCACTAGAAATGTCCATGTTCCTCCAGTATTTATAAAGTGAACCTAGGGTGACTAACTCAGACACAGACATTTCACAGGTTCATACTTATATTAGGCCAGAAAAATTTTATTCTTGGTGACCATAGTTGCCAGTAAAACATTGGGTTTAGGATGAGAAACTTGAAGCTATCAACCCTTTGCCTGTTTCTTCCCTTCAGTTGCTGTAGAGCTCCCCATGACAACACACTAAATAATTGAATATGAGCATGCGCTAAATAACTGAACATAAGCATAATGCCCATTAAGCTCTCAATTAATTGAAGAAACAAAAGACCTTTGTAAAAAGGCTTTCCCTTTCTTTTACCTTGTCCAGATATAGCTTACTTGCCAATTACATTTCATGGAATCATAGCATCATTATGGTTGGAAAAGATCTCCAAGATCATCAAGTCCAGCCATCAACCCAACACCACCATGCCTATTAAACCATGTCCTGAAGTGCCACGTCTACACGTTTTTGGAACACTTGCAGGGCGGTGACTCCACCACATCTCTGGGTAGCCTGTTCCAGGGCTTGAGCAAAACTCCTGTATTTTACTCCTGTAATTAAAATCAGTTTATTTCTGCAGTTGATTCTCCATATGTTAAGGTTGCTGTGGCAAGCAATTGCTGTATGTTACGCTTTCCGCAGAATACATAACCCAACTAATCATGCCCTGGAGTGTCTCTGCACACTTTCCTGCTTCCTTATAGTCTGCCAGGGCAGGAAGGAAACCCTGCAATGGTAGTTGTAGGGTGTATGTGCAAGCACTTACTGTGTGTAAACTTCTTATCTAGCCTAGGGCAGGTGGAATGGATGACTGAATGTTTTGTTGCTGCTGTCACTGTATATTGCTTATCAGTTTTACATCTCTGTCCTGGTTTTGGCTGGGATAGAGTTAATTTTCTTCCTAGTAG